ATATATATATATATATATATATATATATATATATATATATATATATATATATATATATATATATATATATATATATATATATATATATATATATATATATATATATATATATATATATATATATATATATATATATGTGGTTTTCATCAATAATAAATATTTATATTTATCTATCGTTTTGAGCAGATAAGGATTACGGTGTTAACCATTTTATTTTATCTTTCGTTTTTGTAAAGATTCTCTTACTTTTATTTGGTAGACGTTTGGAGGTTAAAACATAGACAGATATAGACATATAGATAGAATGTTAGACAAACAGACAGACAGATTAATAGACAGACAGACAAATAGATACATAGAGCGATAGCCAGAAAGACAGACGAACAAACTTCCCAATTAAACTTAGAAAAGGTTATCAAAATATCCGAATACTATTGAATTACTAATCATATTCATTGAAATACCTCGCTAATAAATAATCAGATGCTTTCTAAAGGAATCGAATGATTCGAATATAATTCAAAAGGGTTCCTAATCGTATCTTCCTGATCATACCGACAAATCGATTTAGCTACACGGCACCTCTCTACTCTCATTCCACCTACCTTTATTCGAGCTTCTGCCATTTCAAATATTTAAATAAAATAAAAATAATAAGTTCTGGCCCTCCACTATTTTTTCAACAACAGCTAACAATGTCTTGACTTGATCAAACTTACAAGCTGTTGTTCATACTACAGACACAAGCTCTTTATGACATAAATAGTAATAGACATACACACACACACACACACACACACACACACACACACACACACACACACACACACACACACACACACACACACACACACATATATATATATATATATATATATATATATAAAATATTCTGTATATATGACTTATATGTAGTCAATGCTGTTATTATTATTTTTATTATAATTATAATTATTGTTGACAATATTACTGTTACTAGTTTAAATATTTGCAAATCTTGAACGTTAAATATAGCACAGATAATTTCCGAATGTAGATTTTCTTCCTTTTTCTTAGTTATCAGGCTGGGGTAAAAACAGCCTTGGAGCTCACCTATCTACTTCTGCCCGTACTCTCCTTTCGATGTACGTGGATGAGTATGTTTGCTGTAGTCAGGTACATGTAGGTAGGAGTTCAAGTTATTTGGAAACGTTTATCATGTTTGAAGGTGTATGAAATCGTTCTCAAGTTTGACCATCGAAGTTTATACAATTTCAAACTGCGTAAGATCCCCAAACCGATTCATAGGAAGCACGTGGTTGGTTTATTGATTGGTTTCACATGCAATTATTATGTGAAAGAGAGAGAGAGAGAGAGAGAGAGAGAGAGAGAGAGAGAGAGAGAGAGAGAGAGTAACTACTTATTTAACTGGTTTGATACTCGTATAGCCTGGTATCAAACGATAATAACCATGTGAACACCGAGAATGGGTTTTTCCGTATTTCTTTTTCAACAATTTATGTTGTTGAAGTTGTAATCAAACTTTGACGCTATTAAAATGAGCTTATTATTCAAGTGCCATCATTAAGGAATGTTTTCAATTTAGTAACATCATATTGTATCATATTTTAAACTTTTCAATAATGATAAGTTTGTCGAAAACTGATTTGATTGTAAAATACAAAACCTGGATCACACGCTCACATGCACACACACGCACACACAGACAAACCAGCCAACACACACACACAAACATGTAATATAAGAACATAAGATAACTTACAAAATTAACACCTACCCACGCAAAATATAAATTCTTGAATTTCCTAACCATGATTAACGATTTTTCGATAGAGGCCGCCGTTAATTTCTTCAGCGATTAACGTCCAAACGATTTTAGTAATTTTTCTTCAATAGAAATGCCAAACATAAGAATGTACTCTAAGTCAATGAGTTTCATAAGATGCGTAACCAAATAAGTCTATTGATTTATATTTCTTAAGCGTAATTTCAACTGCATTTATTTTATAAGTATGTATTTATTACCTAATTCCAAAATAATATATAAGCATTTTCGCACGTTTTGCTTTTATCGAGTAATACAATTTCTCAATGATTGATTGATTTGAAATAACTAGAAGAAAATAATTATTAGAAGGTTAAAATTCTTATCAAAAAGTGTTTTTATCTATGTTAACAATGCATTTTTAATGCTGGTGTATAATTTTCAATTTGGTATTTCTTCTGTAACTTTATCCTGGCGCTATCTTTTCCATTGGAGTTTTTCGGTTTCAATTTTTGGTACTGTGTGGTGCATCTTCTTCTTTCCTCGTGCCTTATTCTTCCAGGACATTGGCGACCATCGACCTCCCCCATATAAATATTTATATATATAAATATATAATATATATTATATGTATATATATTATATATATAATTTGGAAGGAGATCAAATTTTATACAGTATTGTATGAATTTTACCGATTGGCTGACATTAATCATTTTAAAGTTTGTCTTTTCAATTTTCCATACTAGAATTCAATAAGGAATTTAGTAAATTCTGGTAAGGATAATTTAAAAGACAAACTTTAAATTGGTTAATGCCAACAATTCGTATGTGTGTCTGTGTTTGTGTGTGTGTGTGTGTGTGTGTGTGTGTGTGTGTGTGTGTGTGTGGTGCGGGTATGTGCCTGGGCTTGAGTTTGTAAAGCTTGGTTATTAGGACTTCATCAGCAGAAACAAGAAATCATGAGAAATTTTGATCGAGATTGTACGTGATTTAATGATAATTTGAGAAATATATAACCATATATGTAAGCTAAGATTTTGATTAAATACAATTTAAACCTTCTAAAAAGCTATCAGAATTTGATTTTTCAGTGAAAATTTCTAATTTTTTAAACATTCTTATTCATGAGTGATTGTTAATGTGTGGAGATGGAGAATTGCATTTAACAACTTTATTCGGTATAAACCAGATTTAATGACTATAAAATTTAACCATTTATATAGTTTTCATCATGCTACCTATAATATAATTATTAATACTAATATTTATCATTATAAAAATTCTTACATTCTATTCAAATGACACCATGGTAAATTTAAAACTTAAATGCACTATTTGCCAGTGGGGCCATGGTTATTGATGATAATTAGTAAACCAAAACCACGGAAATTTTGGTTTCCTAAATAAAATGTCTGCCGTCGCATTTAAAATTTTACAAATAGTGATAAATTTTCAATCGATAGTGACGCAAAAAATAAATTTGATGATTAATTTAATTTAAATTGAACATTTTTACACGTTTCAGTTTCAGCCATCAAAAAGTTCTACAAAATCTTCCGTTGGATTGATGATAAGAATCTAAACCTGAAAGAAATTTTTCTAAAGAATCGAATTCACGATTCTTGTCCGAATTTTCAACATAATCATATTATAGCAGACTGCCATCTATTTATAGACCTTTTTCATTTGAAAATATGGCCACCGCCATGAGTTTAACATCGTTTGAAATAGAAAAAACTAAGGAAGGAAAAACGATTAACGCTCCCAGAAAAACTGACAAATTCTTCTACGAATTCTACATTTTGAAACGAATAGTGAAATTTGGGTCTTACTACTCCCCACTCGCCAGGAACAACGCGGTGTATGCTGGTTTTACCTGCAATTCAGAAGAAAAAAATGTCATTTACTGTGATGCTTGTTCCACTCTAGCTGACACCACGTACCTTAATGTGGACAGTGTGGAGGCCAGAGTCAGATTGCTGGCCAATCATATTTATGATCAACCAAGATGTCCAAATGCTCTCATCATGATTAAATGTTCTGTCGATAACTGGAATGAAAATAGGCTAAAAAACGGCAGCAAGTCGACTGAATTGGAGCTGGATTGTTGCAAGGAGGGAAGCAGGACTCAATCGAGTGCAGACGAGAAGTTATACGAAATAAAAATGAGGACATCTCAGTCGATTTTGAATAATTCAAAACAAAATGAAAATTTAACAATAGATATGCAGTACTTCAAAAAATATGCCGAAACTCATGCATCTGAATTTGATGAGATAGTGAGACTTTTGTCATTTTCTAACTGGGAATTCTTGGACATAGTCACCCCACTAGCCCTGGCCAATGCCGGATTCTACCGACTCGAAAGCCATGAAATTCCAGATGCTGTTAAATGTGCTTTCTGCCATTTAGTACTCATAAACTGGAAAGTTACTGATGTTGTCATCGATGAACACAGAGCCAAAAGAGCCAACTGTCAATTTATTAGAAATCGAGCTAGCACTACAAATGTACCAATCGATCCCAAGTTACTCTTCTGTCATAGGTTATTTGAATTGATGAAAAGTGAATTTTTTTCGAATTGCAAAGACATTGAACTTTTCGCTGACATTTCTGAATTTTTGCAAAAAAAAACTGGTTAATTTATTTTTAAAAATTTTTTTTTTTATTACAAACATACTTATTAATAATTTCCATTAGTTTTTCATTAAATTGATTAATTATTTTTCATTAAATTGATTAATTATATTATTAATCAATAGTTTATTAACCATTCTCACAAATGGATAAAATAGGAAAAATTGATTCATTCCCAGTGGCGGTTATGAGAACTAACATAGCGGTAATAAAATATGGAAACATAGATATAGACAACAAACTTAAATTTTCAAAAGAGCTAAGGATGAAATTCGACAACTTGGAACGTTATATTAAATTAAATCGACAATCAAACGCAAACACTGCTACTACTACTATTTTTAATAATAATAATAATAGTTATATTAACTCTGACAATGAAAGCACCACGCACAGTTACAATAATGATAATAAAACTAATAGTAATAACCATGCTATTAGTAATAATAATAATAATAATAATAATAATAATAATAATAATAATAATAATAATAATAATAATAATAATAATAATAATAATAATAATAATAACAACAATAATAATAATAAGAAGAGTAATAAATGTAGTTTGGAGTTTGATAATAGTATTAATAATCTCGGACCTGATAGTGAATCCTACTGGACCTTCAATAGAATAGATTACACGACAAACGAGAAAAAGTTTCTTATAACCAGTCTGTCCATTGTTTTTTATTATCACTGTTATTATTTTCATTGTAGTTATAATAATTATCATTCGTAGTTTTTTTTAATAATATTATAGTTATTTAAAAAAAAATTATTATTATTCATAGTAATAATCGTAATTATTTTCTACCCACACGAAAAAAAGATTACAATCGAGCGATGGAGGAGAACACGAGGTTGAAAGAATTAAGACAGTGTAAAGTCTGCCTGGACAAAGAGATGGACACTGTTTTCCTTCCCTGTGGTCACTTCATGTGCTGCACGTCGTGTGCCGCTAAAATAAACAACTGTGCCGTCTGTAGGCTTTTAATTAGGGGTACTGTCAACGCTTTTATACCCCCTGTCTGAGTGTGTGTTTGGGCTTATATGTGTGTGTGGGTGTGTGTTTGTATGTGTGTGTGTGTTTTTATGTGTGGGTGTGTTTATATTTGTGTGTGTTTTTATGTGTGTGTTTATATGTGTGTATGTTTTTATGTGTGTGTGTTTGTGTATGTGGCCATGGCACAACAAACAGCAGCTATCAGAATATAACCGTCATTTAATATTGTATATATTCAATTTTTTTTTCGTTTGTATGTCCTGAATTTTTCTTTGATTTCATGCTGTCTGAGTGTGTGTGTGTTTGTTTGTATGCTTACGTCTGTGAGTGTTTGTGTGTGTGTGTGTGTGTGTGTGTGTGTGTTTGTTTCGATGTTGAAAACTCACGGATAATAATTTGTTTTCTTTTAGTAATAGAAACACGGATAATAATTTTTTTTCTTTTTGTATTAGAAATTTTACAGTTGCCAATTTGTTAAATTGACATGATGGTTGGCGTGATGGTCTAATGGTTAAGGTCGCCTGGTGCTGTTTCGCAGTAACCGGGTTCGAATGGACAAAGAGATCCCCGCCTATC